GATTATTTATTACTTTTTGCCTGTATTGGATGTATTGGATCCGTCATTTGTAATTTATTAAAATTGACTTCAAATTCGTAATCAGCGACCCCAAAAACTCCCGAGTAACAAGTTTCAAGTAGATCCAATGAATTTAAAAAAAATTGTCCGCCATATTGGATCCGCCATTTTGAATTTTGTAAATCTGAATTCATATTTATAATCAGCAGCAAAAAATCTTAAAATAGTAATTTATGTTGACTTTGCTTTAGACGTTATTGTTCGAATTCAAATGTTGAATTGATATATTTCGTTATTGGATATGGTCAACTTTAACCCCCTCTATTTCCTGAACGGGCTGTATGCTCATCTTGAAATTTTGCAGGAGTTATTGGGTCATTATATGTAACTATTTGGCATAATAAAAGTTTCAAAAATCGAAGTACCGAAAACGGGCATTTTCTGCGGAGGTTCTTTGTTACAACAGTTATATTTGTAAAAACACTCAATATATATTTATATTTCAAAATTTAATTTATTATCCATGTTACACTTTTTCCTTACGATTAATAGGCTAAAAAATAAAACAGATTTAAAGTCTTACTGTTGGCAGTTCTCGTGACAAAGTAAGGCTGTGTTCCGATATTACTGCCAGTACTGAAAATCTATAGTATACGTTACGTGTACTATAGATTTTCAGTACTGGCAGTAATAGCGGAACCCAGCTTTAATCGGCGTTGGTGAAACTGGCCTAGTGTTTTATTCTTGAAAATTAAAAAAAAATTCTGCCATTCCTGTAAATACATTATTTTATATTTTTGTATTGTCTGAACTGATGCACATTGTGCAATAAGTTTAAATGAAACAATAAATGTATTTTTATTTCATTTTTGTTTGGTTTACTTCAACTTATTGAAGTGAAACGAACAACATTATAATGTATTCGAAGAATGGAGGAATAAAAAAGAAAACAGATTTTATATATAAATCCTATTTTTAGGACAATTAATAATGGACATTGAGTATCATTTGAACTAATTGTCCAAAAATTCAAATAAAATACGATTAAGAATCATTGAACGCATTTAAAGGCTTCATTTAATAAATTTAAAGGTTGTGGGAATAGAATCTGAATGTATTTAATACGCTATAAAATGTTTTATAATTTTATTACTTACTATACTTTATATGATATTTTATGTATAGTATTATAGTATAGGAAGTACTATACTTTAAATATAGGACTTTATATATAGTACTTACTATACTTTATAATGCTTTATATACTATACTTATTATAATAGTACTTACTATACTTTAGAGTTTTTTATATTATCAACACTTACAAAGAAATATATTTATAGTTTACTACAACTCTTTATAATAAAGTAATAAAAGCATAAATAGTTAGGAACTGTTATAAAATAAACTATGAATGAAAGTGAAACTTAAATGACTTTTTTAAATTTTTACGTTGATTTCATATCCAATATCTCTATTGGTATCTACTTCCAATATTTCTTAGGCAAAGACCCTAAAAATATAATCTGCGACGCTCTTTTCCCCTTAATTTTGCTTCTTTTCATGCTGATAACATTTCCGGCAGCACTAAACAACCGTTCAGATGGAACTGATGTTCCGACAATCACAAAGTACTTCATGGCAACTTCATACACCATTGGATAAACATCCTTCAATTTTTGCCAAATTTTGAATGGATCCTCACTTCTGCTAACAACATTAGCATTAAGAAATTGTCGAAGTTCGATTGGTATGCCACCAGGCTCGTCAGAATTTAATGATGAAGAAACTATTAATTCATCGTGAATGTTCCAAAGATCTTCTTTTCTAGGAATATTTATATTTTCTTCTACATTACATTGCGTTTCTATTTGATTATTTTTCATTAACTGGGAGATCTTGCTTATTGCTGTAGAAACCGCTAATGAACTGCTAAAGTGCAGCTTCTTAAAGCGTGGATCCAACAAAGTAGATATAGAAAGAAAACTGTTTGTTTCAATGTTTGAGTCCTTTCCTCGAAATCTATTTTGGAGTTGTAGTAAAACATTTTTATGAAAGCATTCTGAAATCTCATGAGTAATGTCGAGTTTTTCCAAAGTCCTTATCAGACAATTAATGATAGGGATGATCTTACTACAAGTGACATACAACTCGCCCGATATCTCTGTAGTAACGCGTTCAACTGGACGCAAAATAGCACAGATATCTTTCAAAATTTGTAGATCGGTGTGTGTTGACATCTCTGGTATATCATCATGCTTTTTTCGTGGAAGAATGAGCAATACGGTATTCACTAGATTTGCTAATTGAATGAACCTTTCAATCATATAGAAAAGCGAATTCCAGCGTGTCTCGCATTCCTGCTTTAATTTTAAAATATTCTGGCCATTTTCAAGATTAGAAGTCTGCAACTCGTTAAGTACATTTGTCGCTTTGACGTTGCGTTTGAAGTATGTAACAATACTTTTTACTTTTTTTTACTATAGCCTGGAATTCCGGTGTTGTAGCGATTGCGTTTTGGATAACTAGATTTAGTGTGTAAGCAAAACACGGTATATGTCTTTTGCGTCCAAACGTATCCCGTACCGCTTTTTTGATGTTAAAAGCGTTATCTGTAATTACAGCTACTACTGAATTGATTTGAATATGATCTAATATTTCGCTTATAATTTTCGATATATAATTTCCATCATGGCTTTCTTCGAGTTCCTTTATCCCCAAAGATAGATTTTCTAGTTGCATAGTTTCGAAATTGATGTAATGTACAGTTATGCCGATATAACTCCGAGTATTGAACGGCTCTGTCCAAATGTCTGTTGTTAAGCAAAGATGATCGATCTTCGAAAGCATAGTTCTGATTTTTGAACTGAGTAGCTCGTACTTTTCATCTAGACGCTTTGTGATAGTTTTTCGACATGGTACAGTATATAGAGGTGCCACGATACTTAAAAATTTCCTGAATCCGTCATCTTCGACCATCGAAAAAGGCTGTTTATCTATCGCAATCATATACAGGATACCATTTGTAATCTTAGACGCTAACATACCACCGCCTGAAATAAAAAATTTAAATAAGGCGCATGATAAGCTTAGATGTATACTCTTTACATGACTTCTATTTAATTACTACGGTACGTTTCGATTTTGTGAAATGCTTTATCTATGGATGGCTGTATTTGGAACTTAGGCAAAGGATTCTTTGATGTTGAGCAAACAGGGATTTTCCTTTCTGATGTACACATTGAAGTGCAAGAACTTAATTCCTGAGATTGCATAGATGTTGAGGTTGATAATTCCGAAACCGAATCAAGTTCTTCAGATTCTTCATCAATAGATGTTACCATTTGGCATATTTTTTTTTGTTTAGAATTATCATTTGAATCAATATATTCTGGATGCATTCGCTGTAGGTGGTTGAGTAAATTAGTCGTGTTTCCATAATTTTTGTACGTCCTTAGGCATATGGTACATCGTACCGAAATATAGTCGTATTTCGTAAAAAAATTATGTATAGAAGATTTTTTCGTTTTTGTTGTTTAGGGCTTGGATCAGACATTTTCCTGGAATAAAAATTAAATAAAATCGATATAATTCATATTAGCAATATTGCTTTCTTACAGAAGAATTTTTGTACAAATAAAATTATGAAAAAAATAAAGAGTTCATATAATATATACAATAGTTACGAACAATAACTTAATTTTAATATCGTTCAATATTTTGAATCGTAGGTTTCTCACAATATTGCTTTCTTTGATCTCTATATTGCGAAAAGGAATCGAGATATTAATAAAGACATTCGTATGCAATGCATTATAAACTTTTTTTATCATATATAATACTTACGATTCAGTTCTAATTCATATTTACATAAAACTGTTTCAAATCTCTTTATAGTTTGAAAGTATAAAGCCGGCGGCACACGATGCTTGTTTTCCTACTGGATTGCTAGCTCCGCCGGCTTTAGATGTGATGCTGTCAGTGCCAGCATCGCAGCCAATACAGTGGCAAGATTCTAATCCAGCTAGCAATCCAGTAGGAAAACAAGCATCGTGTGCCGCAGGCTTAAGTCAAGAATAGTAATCTTCCCGCCTCAGTTTTGATGTTTACATGTAGCGACAGGAACAAACATGAAACCAGGAAAGAAGATACTAAGGAGACCCCACTCCGTAAAATAAAAGTGGACCGATTTTAGATTTCGAGTTAAGTTCCGATTCTCGACACTCGCAGCGCTCATGAATATAGTAGTCCTGCGCATAATGAGTGCGCCGTAGTTTCAGTTTCTGGCAATCCTTTCAGGTTGTTTTTTGAGTCCAAAATTTTAGCCTCCAAAACGGAGACTCAGTAACGCAACCAAAATCGTCTTAAAGACCGCTGGACCAATGAGCATCCAGCATAAAGTCGCCATATTGATTTACATAAGATGCTTATTGGTCCAGCGGTCTTATGTTATGTTTATGCTCTATTATATATTTCATGTGCGATAGGCTTTAGAGTTATCGCACACAAAATGACATAACCTGCATATGCACAACATAAGACTTCTGGGTATCGATTATGAAACTTCTTCCCTAGGATGAAAAATGAAAAGTGAAAATTTTTACCATTGAAGTTAATGGAGAAATTTTTCACTCTTCACTTTTCATCCTAGGGAAAAGTTTCATGAACGATACCCTGAACCAATGAACATCCAGCATAAAGCACAGTTAATCAATATGGCGTCTTTGCGAATTGGTTCTCGCACTGTCGTATCAATTTGAAACTATGAAAAATAATCAATTCATAAATAATCGACCGCCAAAGAATCGTCTAATAAATCGATTACTTTACGAAAAAAGAATCGATTCTCGAATAATCGAATCAGAATCTCGCATCACTAGCTTACGTGCGATCCACCCGGCGACGTACCCCGGTCGGCAGCTTTACAAGCGCAACGCTCGTCTCACTCTCGTCGTCTCCTTCACGTCACGTCCTCTCGATACGCTTTCGTCCTCTCGGTCTCGTGCTTCTCGGCTGCGAACTCGCACTTCCTTCACAAGTCTCACGGCTTGCTCGTCCACAAAAAGAGTAAGGCCCGGGAGCTCCCGGCGGATTCTCGCAGGCTGCTTAGCGCCCCCCCCACCCCTCCTTTGGGGGGAGGTAGTCACGTTGATTGGCTTCCGCGTGTCACGGTACCCGCGCGGCCTTGAGTCCTGACTCGTACAAGCGCGCAATAGATGTCCCTGTCAAGGGTGGCGTCTCCGCTTACGGCCTCCGCACCTCCTGGCCTGGCGGGGGAGATCGGGATGGATTTTCCTCTCGCTCCTCGTCGGGGCCCTATGCTCCCGACGGACGTCCGTCCGGCTCCTCAAGGGTGGCCGGGAATTCTGGCCTCCTCCGGTGCTCTGTAAGGGGTGCATGGTGAAAGTATTGTTCCTTTCGTATGCGGTTACGAGAAATGATATAAAATAATACAACCTGCTTGTCCAAGCTCCCGGATGTGCGTCCTTCTCTCTTAGCTTCTTCGGCCTTCTTTCCAATCCTGTCCTTCTTCTGTCTTCCTTCCAAGGGTGGCGGGCGAGATTGCACGATGGTACAATGAAACACAGCAGCTGCCGAGCGTGATCCGTGGCGCGTCTATACGCTGTCTGATACGCTTTATCATTACGCAAAAGAAATGCTAATACAAAAGAGGAAAATCTGCCGAGTAAAATAAATGACATGAGTGTTAACGCACGTTCGCAGGTGCGTTTGCACGCGCGCTCGCCCTTCGAGCCGGTAGGAAGCGCGAGTACGCCGTCGACAAGTCCGCACTGTGACGGACAAAATGTCACGTCACAATATATACATATATATATATATATACTTTCCGTAAAAATGAATTCTGTACATATAAAACGACTCAAAATAAGGTCAATGTTTATATTAACAACGAAATTTTATAGTTTAAATGAAATCTTTCACACATTTTACCTTAATTATTTTTTAGAAGCATGTCTGTTGAAATTTTTAATCCACATCCTAAATCACTATCAATATTTTTGTATTTTATTCAAATAAAATTTATATAACAAAATCTGTAATTTTTTTATTTTGTTAAAAAATACGTGTGTACATTCTTAATATAATTACAAGCACGAACAAGACTTAACTTTTATTTCTGTATATACAGGGTGTCCCATTTTAAATAATACACTAAGATTTTTCGAAAACTATTGTAGATACGGAAAATGTTTCAAACTAAAGTTGGTTCTGGGGACCATTGATTTGACCTTGGGTTGCGTCACCAAGATCAGGTCAAGGTCACGTCGATTTTTTTTAACGGAACATCCTATTTTTAATGGCAAAATCTAATAGCTGGTGTCGAGAGCTTTTCAAAACGCGCTATAAGAAAATATTTTTTTATTAAATACTTTTTGAGTTATGATACTTGAAAGTTACAGTACCGCCGGCACTAGCATGACCTAAGGTGTCCGACCGACAAAACCACTTGAATGATATTCAGGATCATGTCCTGGATATCATTTATCAAGATTAAAACCAATGGAGGTTGTACCTCTTATTTTTATTTTTAATGAGAGGAATAATCTCCAATGGCCTTGATCTTGACTAATATTATCCAGGATATGATTTCGAATAACATTCGAAAGGTTTTAATTGTCGGTCGGACACCTTGCGTAATGCTAATGCTGGCGGTATTGTAGTTTTCAAGCTTTGTAACTCGAAAAGTATGTAATAAAAAATAACTTTATTACAGTGTTTTGAAAAGATGTTAATATCAGCTATTAGAATCTGCCATAAAAAGTAGGGTATTCCATTAAAAAAATTCGATGTGACCTTGACCTAACCTTGGCGACGCCACCCAAGGTGAAATCAATGGTATCTTCTTATGTCCCGCTCCGAACCATACAACTTTTGTTTGAAACATTTTTCTGTATCTACTATATTTTTCGAGAAATCTTAATGCATTATTTAAAATGAGACATCCTGTATAAATATGATAAATAGGGGAGTCAAATTAGGCGAAATAAGGCTATAACTTCGGAATAAGTCTGCGATCCATATTTTTTTATGAAACCTTCGTCAATCGCTTCAAAATATTGTCTAAGAAAAATGTGCTATCTTGAAAATTTCCGCTAATCACCCCTTAATTAAATAATAACAAATAACTGGAAAATTAGTAGTAAAATGAAATATCTCGATTATAATACGATGAAAAATTATGAAAATTGTTTCCTGGGGGTTCTCGGGTATGCTGAACACGAATTTGATGTCAGATTTAAAAAATTCAAAATGGCGGAGTCAATATGGCCGATGAAAATGTGAAATATTGTAAAATAAACCGAAAAAAATTATTTTTCAAGGGTTTCTGGATATTGCAATAACCAAATTTATATTACATTTAAGAAATATAAAATGACGACGAACTTAACGACGACTTAACGACGACTTAACGACGAACTTAACGACGACTGAACAATTTAAGGTCAAATGAAAGAAAAATGAAGATGGTTTGTCTGATAAGGACCGTTTTAATGAAAAAGTATAAACATAATAAATTCATATAATGTTGTTTAATATAAGAAATATGTTTATGAATCGGTCTCTTCTGAGTTTTGAACATCGCCTACTGTGTCAGTTTCGATGATGTCTTCAATTGGAGGTGCGTTCAGGCAGTCCACGCCACTGTAAGTTAAGCAGGCAGTGCTGCAGTATAAACCTGGTTTTTTACATCCGGAGTTATTCTCGCAGCCGCTTTTACAACTGCAAAATAAATTTCTTAATAGTTTTTCAGGGGCTGGAGACTTCGTCATTGAAATGGGATGTAAAAAATCTTTTTGAATCCATCCCCAGTCATTTGCAGAGAAACTTTCGCCTTGTCCTAACCATTGCTGTACTTGGAGATATACTCGTTTGAAATGTTGTCGAGCTGAGTCATCCGTAGGCGGTAAAAACGCGAGAGACATTTTGTGCCGTTTAGAGACGCCTCTGTTTTCCATTTTCAACAACTTCTGTAATAAAAATATTTAATAAATAAGAGTACATTCTATTAATTTCTGCAATTATAACAGTTGAATATTAATGCAATAAGTATGAATAAATTGTGAAATAAAAAAAAAATAAAAATTATGAAATGTCATTGTAATCAGTACAAATTCGAGTTCAGGGAATATTCCTGGAAATAAATGAAAATTTAATTTATTTTTTTATTTTTATTACTGAAGCTTAAAAAGTATTAAAAATTGTTCATTTACTTGTACATTCTTTAACACTTCTATACTAAATGATTTGAATACAATTTTTTATATTAATGCTTCCTGAATCTGTTCATTACCGAATGTAGTGTGTGCGTGCATGTGTATGT